TGGGAGCGCCACCGCGCTTTCAAGCGGTGCACTCTCCAGTGCGCCACCGGGCCGGCCCGAAAGTCCCCATTTCTAATAGTATGTTACAGCAAGCACTGGGTCCATGTAAGTATACATTTTGTTTTGTCCTTCCTAGAAGCTCTCCTAATCATTAAGAATGTTTGGCTTAGATACATCACTGGTGACCACTGATGGGTTTTAACAAGGAAATGACCAGAAACATTTCCATTTATTAAAGTTTATTAGCTACAGAGAAATGAATCTGCAGAGGGAGACATCAATAAATACAAAATACACGTGAAACTTTGAGGGAGTCACAGACCAGAGTGTCAGTGAGACTGGGCAAGGCTGGCAGGGCCCTGCTACTCAGATGCCTCTTTGTGTGAGTTCATGGTCAGGGCTAGATCTTCTCTCTGCTGTGCGAGCTCTGTGCACTCCCTCAGTGACAGGAGGGTCGGGAATTCAGTGACAGGTCTTAAGAAGAGATGTGATTCCATATTCCTGAGATTTCTCCCTAATTGCCATTTTTTGGTTTCTGCTTGTTCCTTCCCTCTGTCCTTAAATAGTTTCTTTTTAATTTCTATCCCAGCAGTGTGGAACATGAATGTGTAAACATCTCTTCAGGGCAGGCAGTCTGCTCTGAAAGTGGAATTGCCTTTGTCTAGGGCTTTCTTCATCATGATCACTAAAACTTTTATAATATAAAGAGAAATTCATATAAGAGAGAAATTCTGACCTTTCAGAAACCTTCCAGAACCAATACAACACATCACTTATGCCCAGAGCTGATGACCTGCAAAAGCTTCTTTTCCATTGATTTAGCTGTTAACGATTTGGCTTGATTCAGTCCCAAGAGAAGGGAACTTGACCTTGGCTCAGTTGCTTTTCTCTGGGATGAGAAAGCACAGCACTGATACAGGACACCAGGTTAATCTTTACTCCAGACAACAGCTGGGTGTATGCAGTCACGTTTGCCAAAACCCTCCTAACCATCTACTTTTCTGGATGGTTTGATCAGGGTGTAATGGTTTGACTTAAGGTGTAAGTGGATTGTTCCAAAGCAAACTTATTTTTCCCTGTTCTCTACCCCCTACCTCCCTGATTTTCTTTAATCTGTAGCTATTTTGAGCACAGCCCAGGGATCAGTCTGTTTCCTTCTATTTTCTCCCCTTCATCTGTCACAGACTTCCCCCACTCCAAGGATGGGCAGCATTTGGGGTTAGGCAGTAAGCAAAACACACTTCTACCCCCTTGCTGGCTCAAGAAAAGGATGAATATGGAAGGGGTGCTGAGCTGGCACACATTTTCCCCCACAGAAAAGTGCCCGCCACAAGGGAATGGGGAGCCGTCAGGACACTCAGCTTCTCCTTTAGCTTAGAAGGGTTTTGCCTGATGGGTGGTTCCTAAAGGTGGGGGTGGGCACCAGATATTTGAGGCAGATATTTCACGAGCCGTTTAGTTCTACACTTTTCCATGGAAATCCTGCACTCGGGGTGGGGGAGACCTCTGAGATAGAATTAGTGGTTTACTATGAGTAGTGTATGTTTTTAACTTGCAGGGAAAAAATACCAAAATGTCATAAAGCTGAACTTATCCAGGCTACTGGGAACTTGGAAGGGACAGGATAGTGACAGACACCTGGGCATTGTAAACAGTAAGAGCAGTGGCTACTTGTAGGATTACTCAGTTACAAAAGGGGCCCTGCGGTCGGCACTGGAGGGGGCCAGGCCCACTCCTGCCTTTACTTTGTGATATATTTACATTAGGCAGCAAAAAAAAAAGCATCCCTGTACTGCAACACGGAAGCGAGACATGGCATCTCGTTCACTGGAGGCTGCGCGGCGTCGTCTGGGTGTGGGGGCACACTGTTTTCTCTGAGCTGTATCATTTATAAGGCATTATTTGGTGTGATTTTGCAGTTGATGCCATGAGAATATAAAATCATGCCAATAAGAAGCTGTTGTGTATACTTATGACTTTGGGACTACCTGCAAACTAAGGACTCTCTAACAATGATTCAGAAACTAGGAAGGGCCAGCCCACAAGCATATTTCCAGTCGTGGAATGGACACTGTAGGGTGGGACAGGGTTCTATCTGTACTGACAGACAAATGCCAAGATGCATTTTAAACATGGAGAAATGCTGGGTGTTTTAAAAAATATTACTCAAATAAAAGTCAACTAAAATACTGCTTTAAAGCCCGTGCAAACCATGTATTTACAATAAATAGATGCACTATTCAGAGCCTGTATGTTGAGTTACAGTTGAGTATGGTGGGGTCTGACACGTTCTCCTGGAAGTGCCCGTCCTGAAATGTGGAACCCAAGGACCCCAGCTTCATCGTCTTCTCACCGGAGTGTCTTTAGAGATAACTGTGGAGACACAACAGAACGTTACGGGTGGGGTTAGAAGACTCATTGACACAAAAGGCCTGCCCAGGGCTGGGCACTGTGGCTCTTCCTCATTCATGCAAGGTGCCAAAGTCAGGGGATGATCTCATCATATGCAAGGAGCTGATTTTTACCCAAGGGGTCATGGATGGAAAAGGGATGAAATGGCATATGTATTTGATGGTATCTGTACCACTGATGAAACTGGATGTGTATTGGATGGTATTTGTATTATAAACATTTATAGGACCAAATGTCAGCAATCTACTTGACAGGAAGCTCAGGGAAAGCAAAGAACGTGCTGGAGATCCCAAGTCAAGATAATGAAAAGGAGAGAAAGGGACCCAGGCCCTGAGTCTTCCAGCCCAGGGCTTCCACCCATGTACTGATCACTGCATCCATGAAAGAAGAGAGAGCCTCCTGCAGGACTGTTTGCTATGTCTAGGACCCAGTGATTTCTACGGATGATTGCTTTGTGTCTCACTGCAGTGAAAATGAATTAAGATGGTATCCAGCAAGATGTAAAAGATCTTCTTGTGAGATGCCCAAAGGAGACTTTACAATTCATCCTTCACTAGACTGTTATGGGCAAAGATAAAAACTATCAGTCTGTTTTCCACAGCAGCTGGAAAACATTTTCTCATTCTCATTTCACATTCTCACCAACAGTGCACAAGGGTTCCAATTTCTCCAGTTCCTTGCCAACACTTTTTAGTATTTTTGATAGTAGCTATCCTGATGGGTATGAGGTGGCATCTCATTGAAATTTTGATTTGCATTTCCCTAATGATGAGTGATGTTGAACATCTTTTCATGTGCTTATTGGCCATTTGTATATCTTCTTTGGGAGATGTCTATTCAAGTCCTGTGCCCATTTTTAAATCAATTTTTTTGTTGTTGAGTTTGAGGAGTATATGTGCTGGATATTAATCTTTTGTCAGTCATATGATTTACAACTTTTTCCCCATTCTGTGGGTTGCCTTTTTACTCTGTTGATATTGTCTTTTGATGTACAAGTTTTTAAAATTTTCGTGAAGTCCAATTTGTTTATTATTTTTTTCTTTTGTGTCTTTGATGTCTTATCCAAGAAATCATTGCTAAATCCAATGCTGTGAAGCTTTTGCTCTGTTTTCTTCTAAGAGTTTTATAGTTTTAGGTCTTACATTCAGTCTTTGATTTATTTTGAGTTAATTTTTGTTTATGGCATTAGAAAGGCTCCAACTTCATTCTTTTGCATGTGGATATCCAGTTTTCCCAGCATCAATTGTTGAAAAGACTGCCCTTTCCCTATTGAGTGGTCTTGGCATCCTTGTCAAAAATCATTTGATGAAGGGTTTATTTCTGGGAACTCTGTTCTACTCCATTGGTCTATATGTCCGTCTTTATGCCAGTACCACACTGTTTTGATTACTGTTGTTTTGTAGGGAATTTTGAAATCAGAAGTGTGGTTCCACCAGCTTTGTTCTTCTTTTTCAAGACTGTTTTGTCTATCTGAAGGGGTTCTATTATGGATTGCACTGTATTTCCCCAATGTTTAATGTGTTGGAGGCTTGGTCCCCCGTGTGACAGAGTTAAGAGGGTGGGAAATTCTGTTATGGTAATTGAATGGTGGGGCCTTGAAGAGGTGATTAGATTGTGAGGACTTTGCCCCCTAGTAAGTGGAATAAGTTGATGGTTTAATGGTGGTTGTGGGCATGATTCTGAGGGCTTTAGAAGGAGAGTTCATGAAGAGCTATCTCTCTGTTCCACCATTCTGCCACGTGAGACCCCTGTGTCACTGTCACCACCAACCAGGCCTTCACCAGATGTGTTCCTGGAGTTTGGACTAGCCAGCCTCTGAAACTGTGAGCAATAAATTTTGTTTTCTTACAAATTACCCAGTTCCAGGTATTTTGTTATAAGCAACAGAAATGGACTAAAACATATCCCCTCAGATTCCATATGAATTTTAGGATTTTTTTCTATTTCTGCAAAAAAATGTCATTGAGATTTTGATAGGGATTACCCTGAATCTGTAGATTACTTCGGATAGTACTGACATCTTAACAATATTGTCTTCCAATCCATAAGCATGGAATATGTTTTCATTTATTTATGTCTTATTTAATTTCTTTCAGCAATGTTTTGTAGTTTACATTGTACAAATCTTTCACCTCTTTGGTTGTTAATTGCTAAGTATTTTATTCTTTTTGATGCAATTGAACATGGAATTGTTTTTGTAATTTTCTTTTCAGATTGTTCATTGTTAGTGTATAGAAATGCAACTGATTTTTGTGTGTTGACTTTTTATCCTGCTACTTTGCTGAATTCATTTATTAGTTCTAACATTTTTTGTGTGTGTGTGGAATCTTTAGGATTTTCTACATAAAAATATTTGCAAAGAGAGATAATTTTACTTGTTCCATTCTAATCTGGATGCCTTTTATTTCTTTTTCTTGCCTAACTGCACTAGCTAGAACATCCAGTAATATGTTGAATAGAAGTGGCAAAGGTGGGTATCCTTGCCTTGTTCCTGATCTTAGAGGAAAAGCTTTCAGTCTTTCACCATTAAGTATGATGTTTGCTGTGGGTTTTTCATATATGGCTTTTATTATGTGGAGGTAGTTTCTCTCTATTCCTAGTTTGTTGAGTGTTTTTATCATGAAAGGGTGTTCAATTTTGTGAAATGCTTTTTGTGCATCAATTAAGATGATCATGTATTTTTTTCCCCTTTATTCTGTAAATATAATGTATTACAGTGATCAATTTTTGTGTATTGAACCATCCTGATGTTCCAGGAAAAA